GGATGAGAACCTTTCGACGACTGGGCCGGCATCCAGGGCGTGCAGGGCATCAATCAGCGTGCAGCGCAGTTTTCTGCTCATGGTCGCCTGCGACCTTGGCGGGCCTTTCGATTCGCGCCCGTCGGGGTCCTTTCCGTACCGCAGGAGAAGGCGCGCGACGTCCTCGGCGAAGCCGCCCTGGGAGGACAGGCTTCTGTGCACCTCCGGGTAAGTGTCGATCGTGTGTTGGTATCGCATTCTGAGGGTCTCCAGGCGTTGCAGGGTGAGGGTGCCCACGCATTTCCCTCTCGGGTCGTAGACGAAGGCCGTGTTCCCTTCGGTCGAGCCGCCCTCTCTGGTTAGCAGACCTAGCTGGATTCGATAATTTCCCGTGGGGCGCGTGTCCATGTATGGGTTGCACGGCGTAGTCTCAAAGGTAGTGTTTGCTCGAATAAGGCGTGCCCGCTGGGTCTGCTCCGAGGGGGGCGGGTTCCATCGGCCTTGCCTCTGAGGGTTCGTTAGATTGCTGTCCTTGGGTTTGGGGTATCTCGAGAGGGGGTTCACACTCTGCGACCTCGTTTGCTCGTACCTCGCCATCGCCGCTGGTCCGTTGGGTAACCTGCCGAGTTGCGCGGCGGGGATATCTGACGGTTCCCATACCGCTCTGCGGAAGTGGCGGTCGATCCGCGTGCCGTAAAGACCTGTCACTGGTAGTAGCTGTCTGGGCACGTATCCCATGCTGGCGTATGCACCGACGATAGATATCGGGGTGATAGTGTCTTTCCAGCGAACTGTGTAGTACTGTTCGTGGGTTGCGGTCGTATCGGCCCCGATTTTCTGTTTCTTGGGAGGTTTAACGTTTGAGGGGACGATGCGTTTTGTGATAGGGCCCGCGAGTACTTCTACGATGTCCTCTATATCGTTGTATAGGTCATAAACTATCTGTTGTTGCCCCGTTGTGTCTTTTGCCTGGCCTTTTCCAGGCTTCCAGGGTATCCTGTCCTCCAGTATTTGGTCGCGGGCGACTTTCCATCGAGGTCTCCACCATTGCGGGGTGAGGTGCTCTGGTGGCTTCGGCGTCCCCGGTAGCACTCCGGCCGGTTCGGGTGCAGGCGGATCACCGGCGTGGTCCCTGTCGGCGGTGTTCGGGCCAGCCCCTGCCGCCTCCGCGCCTGCGCCGGCGCGAGGGTTACGTGGCGCTACCGGCGTACAGTCGAGTCCCTTTTCTGCAAGGTACACCAGCACTGGGTTTGGGGTACCGATTTCTCCTGTCACGGGGGTCATGCCGATGCTTAGAGTGCGACGGGTTTGCCGGTTTGGGCGCGGTCGCGGTCCCTGGACGATAGGCCCAGGGGGGTTCCCTAGGTTGGGCACACTCCTACGGGTGTCTTTTCGCAGGGCTGCCATGACGCGTCTCGCTTCCATATAGGATGTGCATTGCGGGGCCGGGTCGCGGAGTTGCACGCCATGTATAGCTGCACTATCTGTTCCCACGTTACTGTTGTCACAGCGTGTATTGTTGTTGATGAAATCCTGTTGCCGCTGGTGGACGGATCTTGTGCGTTTCCGTCCTGTGCATGCTGGTTCCGCAGGGTGGCTCGGCGGCGCTGGTGGGTCACTCTCCATGTCGTCTGGCTCTGCGCGGGGGTGGTGTGGCTTCTCCGTGGTCGTGCTCCACACTATAGGTGTGTCGCGGCGTACATGTGGGTCGAGGGATGGTGCTAGTATCGGGTTGGGGAGACTTGATTTGTGCCGGAGACCGGTGTACGGAGGGTCACTGGGGATCTCGCGGAGGCGTCTGTCTTCCAGAGGCAGCGCGGACGACCAGCGACGTGGGTCATGTGCCTTCGTGTGTGGAGCTTGGGGGCATTGGGCACTTATCGCTAGGCTTAGTCGATTCAAGGCGATCTTGTGCCGGTGCTGCACCT